TAAGTTAACTCTTAATAAGACCATGACATTAAGGAAGTACATGCTAAACATAGAAGACTATAAGACTCAACTTTGTGCCCAAATCATGCTAACTGTCATCCCAGCGGGGGACAGAAAAGCTTAGGATATAAAAGTGTTAGGAGGCAGTGGTAAAAAATTAAGGTTAGGAAAAAAACTTAGAGTGAGGAAAAAGGGAGAGGTGGAGGTGGGGGGAGGAGAGAAGGAAAAAATGAAAACTAGATGAGGCAGTCGTTGTTCTGTGCTCCTTCTCCACCAAGACAGGGACACCTCCTGGGTAAGCTCTGCAGCTTCACCTTCACTTTGGTGAGGAAAGCCTGGGATAGCATATATACGTTTATAAACCTATGAACACCCTATTGGGTTAGGGGCATAGATACTTTTAAGCTGCCTATTGGGTCAGTGGAAAAGACCCACAAGAAAAAGGAGAACCCCTTGTCATTCTCAGGATTCTCCTATTTGGTTGAATCTGTTCAAACACCAGCCTGCAAACAAGCAAGTGATGCAGGAGAAGGATCTGTTACGATAGATCCAATAGATCAGAAGGATCTGTTACGAAGATCCCTTCTCCATGGCTACCAAAATTTTGGCCAAAATGGGAAGCACGTGCCTGCCCAGTAGCCACCCGTTCCTCCTCCCAGGCATACTTGCTCAAGATTCTTGGCCTCTTCTACGGACAGAGTGACCTGTGCATTCGGTCCGCAGACCCCTGCAGGCTAGCTAGGTACCCGAGAACTTTGGCCAATTCTTGTGGGAGGTGCATTCCAAGAGGCTTCTCTTGCCTCTGATTCATCTTGTCTGCCAAACTTTGTGGCTAGCTCCAGATACACATTTTGTTTTGACTCCTATCCTCAGATTGCTTTAGGGTCGGTACCTGAGAACTTTGTCCACTTTTGGAGGGAGGCACCTGCCTGGGTACCTCCACGACCCTTCGCTGATCATGTTTTGAAACAGTTTGGGGATAGCTCCAAATTGAGAACTGTTTATCAATACCAGCTGAAGAGCCGTCTGCATTAGGTCTCTCACCATATTGGCCCTGCTTTGGACGTAGCTGCATGCCTGATAGCTACCTCCAGGAAAGCTTCTGGAAATGCTTGGGATTCAGCCTGAGAGACATTTAGCTGCGGGTACCAGCTGCAAAGCCCTTCAGGGTAGGGACAGCACAAGTGTGGCCAAGTTTCGAGGCAAGTGTATGCCTGGTAGCTCCCCTTGCCTTCTCTCCTCGGCATGCTTCTGCAGAAGAAATGACTTCCTCCAAGAGGAAGTTTTGCTTTCTGGATCCGAAACTCAGATCCCTCACGGCTAGGGAATAAAGAAGTTTGGCTACTTTGGAACTCGCTACATCCGCGCTAGCTACCTTTGCCTCCCCCACATTCTACTTGTGAAAGATTCTGTTAGCTGCATGAAAACTGGCAAAAGCAGCATACCCGTACGGGGTGTCTAGCAGAATTTTGGCCAAATTGGGAAGCACGTGCATGCCCAGTAGCCACCCGTTCCTCCTCCCAGGCATACTTGCTCAAGATTCTTGGCCTCTTCTAGGGACAGAGGGACCTGTGCATTCGGTCCGCAGACCCCTGCAGGCTAGCTAGGTACCCGAGAACTTTGGCCAATTCTTGTGGGAGGTGCATTCCAAGAGGCTTCTCTTGCCTCTGATTCATCTTGTCTGCCAAACTTTGTGGCTAGCTCCAGATACACATTTCGTTTTGGATCCTGTCCTCAGATTCCTTTAGTGTTGGTACCTGAGACCTTTGGCAGCTTTTGGAGGGAGGCACCTCCCTGGGTACCTCCACAACCCTTCGCTGATCATGTTTTGAAAACCTTTTGGGCTAGCTCCAAATTGAGAACTGCTTGTCAATACCAGCTGAAGAGCCGTCTGCATTAGGTCTCTCACAATATTGGCCCTGCTTTGGATGTAGCTGCATGCCTGATAGCTACCTCCAGGAAAGCTTCTAAGCATCCAGGAATGCTTGGGATTAGGCCTGAGAGACATTTAGCTGCGGGTACCAGCTGCAAAGCCCTTCAGGGTAGGGACAGCACAAGTGTGGCCAAGTTTCGAGGCAAGTGTATGCCTGGTAGCTCCCCTTGCCTTCTCACCTCGGCATGTTTCTGCAAAAGATTTAGCTTCCTCCAAGCGAAATTTTTGCTTTCTGGATCCTAAACTCAGATCCCTCATGGCTAGGGAACACAGAAGTTTGGCTACTTTGGAACTTGCTACATCCGCGCTAGCTGTCTTTGCCTCCACCACATTGTACATGTGAAAAATTCTCTTTTATCTGTGTAATTTCTGTTAAAAGCAGCATACCTGCCTGCTATTTGTTACCTGACTTTCTCTGCACATTCTGTAGCTCTCTCGGACTATGTAAATTTGCACGGTGTTTCCGTATTTTTTTCTCTCTCTGTAGATGTCTGGTCCTATATGTCCCGTAAGGCTTTTTCCACATATATTGCAGAGTCTTTCCTTTTGACATTCTCTGATCAGAGCTGAATCCTCGGCTTGCTGCCTTAGACTCCTCCAAGGCTGTTGCTCTAGCACGCTTGGGTCCATCGGAATAGCTTCCCAACCCTGCAACAATGGAATAGACATTTTTTGTTTGACTTCATTATGTTTGCTTGTTTCTTTTCCTTATTAGCTTTTCTTTCTTTGGTCTTTCCTTCAATCCTACCTGTTTTGTTAGTTTGAATCTTCCTCGTAGTTTTGGTATTTCTTTGCTTCTTTCAGACATCAGCACCCCACCCCGTTTTCCTTGTGCAGTGCCTCCCTCATAGAATCATAGAATTTGGAATCTGGTGTTGGAAGGGACCTTAAAAACCATCCAGCTCCAGCCCACCTGCACTGGTGCCGCAGGACCCGGTTGGGAGCCACACGTCTGGGCTGGGGCCGGCTCTGGCTTGAGGGTGACTGAGGCTGTGTCTGTCAGCCCTGCAGTGGGACATGGCGGTTGCCTAGCAGCACTGTGGGTCACAATATGCACTGCCCATGATTGCATGGGGTTGCCATGTGGTCATGGTCCCTGTCCTTGGCTTCCAAAGGAGCCAGGTCCCCATTCTTGGTCCTGAGCGAGGTGGTGGATGTGCGAGTCCATAAGTCCCCAAGTGCCACAGGGCGGACTTCTCGCTCTTTCCCCTGGAGCTGAACACTGCCTTTTGGTTCCACCACACCTGTGCCCCTCATGAGGTCCATGGCCCAGCTCTCTGGAGCTCACACCTGGGCTGTCCTGCCGCAGGCTGTCCTGACAGCTGCCTGGAAAAGTCTGGCCTACATAGAATCATAGAATCATAGAATATCCTGAGTTGGAAGGGACCCTTAAGGATCATCAAGTCCAACTCTTGACACCGCACAGGTCTACCCAAAAGTTCAGACCATGTGACTAAGTGCACAGTCCAATCTCTTCTTAAATTCAGTCAGGCTCGGTGCAGTGACCACTTCCCTGGGGAGCCTGTTCCAGTGTGCAACCACTCTCTCTGTGAAGAACCCCCTCCTGATGTCAAGCCTAAACTTCCCCTGCCTCAGCTTAACCCCATTCCCGCGGGTCCTGTCGCTGGTGTTAATGGAGAAAAGGTCTCCTGCCTCTCGACACCCCCTTACGAGGAAGTTGTAGACTGCGATGAGGTCTCCCCTCAGCCTCCTCTTCTCCAGGCTGAACAGGCCCAGTGCCCTCAGCCGTTCCTCGTACGTCTTCCCCTCCAGGCCTTTCACCATCTTCGTAGCCCTCCTCTGGACACTCTCCAACAGTTTCATGTCCTTTTTATACTGTGGTGCCCAGAACTGCACACAGTACTCGAGGTGAGGCCGCACCAGCGCAGAGTAGAGCGGGACAATCACCTCCCTCGACCTACTAGCGATGCCGTGCTTGATGCACCCCAGGACACGGTTGGCCCTCCTGGCTGCTAGGGCACACTGCTGGCTCATATTCAACTTGCTGTCTACCACGACCCCCAGATCCCTCTCTTCTAGGCTGCTCTCCAATGTCTCATCGCCCAGTCTGTACGTGCAGCCAGGGTTTCCCCGTCCCAGGTGCAGGACCCGGCACTTGCTCTTATTGAACTTCATGTGGTTGGCGATCGCCCAGCTCTCCAACCTATCCAGATCCCTCTGCAAGGCCTTTCCACCCTCATTCGAGTCCACAACTCCTCCAAGTTTGGTGTCATCAGCAAACTTGCTGAAAATACCTTCTATTCCTACATCCAGATCGTTTATAAAAATATTGAAAAGTACCGGCCCTAAAATGGAGCCTTGAGGGACCCCACTAGTGACCGCCCGCCAGCCTGACGCAGCCCCATTCACCATAACCCTTTGGGCCCTGCCCGTTAGCCAATTGCTCACCCATCGTATGATGTTTTTATTTAGCTGTATGGTGGACATTTTGTCCAGTAGGATCCTATGGGAAACCGTGTCAAAAGCCTTGCTGAAGTCCAAAAAAATCACATCAGCTGGTTTCCCTTGGTCCACCATACGGGTGATCTTATCATAAAAGGAAATCAGGTTAGTTAGGCAGGACCTACCCTTCACAAACCCATGCTGGTTGGGACCAATGACTGCTTTGTCCCCCAGGTGCGCCTCAATCCGTTCGAGAACCATCTTCTCCATGATTTTACCAGGCACTGACGTGAGACTGACAGGCCTGTAATTGCTAGGGTCTTCTTTCTGACCCTTCTTGAAAATCGGCACAACATTTGCCAGCTTCCAGTCTACATGCATTAGTTCTGGACAAAAGCAGCGTACCCAGCGTGTGCCAAACCCTGTTTGGGCATCAGAACAGAATCTTGAAGTCTGCGGTGCCCAAACTGAAACCTGTTCTTCATTATTTAAAAAATCAACATTAAAGTTAACTCTTAATAAGACCATGACATTAAGGAAGTACATGCTAAACATAGAAGACTATAAGACTCAACTTTGTGCCCAAATCATGCTAACTGTCATCCCAGCGGGGGACAGAAAAGCTTAGGATATAAAAGTGTTAGGAGGCAGTGGTAAAAAATTAAGGTTAGGAAAAAAACTTAGAGTGAGGAAAAAGGGAGAGGTGGAGGTGGGGGGAGGAGAGAAGGAAAAAATGAAAACCTAGATGAGGCAGTCGTTGTTCTGTGCTCCTTCTCCACCAAGACAGGGACACCTCCTGGGTAAGCTCTGCAGCTTCACCTTCACTTTGGTGAGGAAAGCCTGGGATAGCATATATACGTTTATAAACCTATGAACACCCTATTGGGTTAGGGGCATAGATACTTTTAAGCTGCCTATTGGGTCAGTGGAAAAGACCCACAAGAAAAAGGAGAACCCCTTGTCATTCTCAGGATTCTCCTATTTGGTTGAATCTGTTCAAACACCAGCCTGCAAACAAGCAAGTGATGCAGGAGAAGGATCTGTTACGATAGATCCAATAGATCAGAAGGATCTGTTACGAAGATCCCTTCTCCATGGCTACCAAAATTTTGGCCAAAATGGGAAGCACGTGCCTGCCCAGTAGCCACCCGTTCCTCCTCCCAGGCATACTTGCTCAAGATTCTTGGCCTCTTCTACGGACAGAGTGACCTGTGCATTCGGTCCGCAGACCCCTGCAGGCTAGCTAGGTACCCGAGAACTTTGGCCAATTCTTGTGGGAGGTGCATTCCAAGAGGCTTCTCTTGCCTCTGATTCATCTTGTCTGCCAAACTTTGTGGCTAGCTCCAGATACACATTTTGTTTTGACTCCTATCCTCAGATTGCTTTAGGGTCGGTACCTGAGAACTTTGTCCACTTTTGGAGGGAGGCACCTGCCTGGGTACCTCCACGACCCTTCGCTGATCATGTTTTGAAACAGTTTGGGGATAGCTCCAAATTGAGAACTGTTTATCAATACCAGCTGAAGAGCCGTCTGCATTAGGTCTCTCACCATATTGGCCCTGCTTTGGACGTAGCTGCATGCCTGATAGCTACCTCCAGGAAAGCTTCTGGAAATGCTTGGGATTCAGCCTGAGAGACATTTAGCTGCGGGTACCAGCTGCAAAGCCCTTCAGGGTAGGGACAGCACAAGTGTGGCCAAGTTTCGAGGCAAGTGTATGCCTGGTAGCTCCCCTTGCCTTCTCTCCTCGGCATGCTTCTGCAGAAGAAATGACTTCCTCCAAGAGGAAGTTTTGCTTTCTGGATCCGAAACTCAGATCCCTCACGGCTAGGGAATAAAGAAGTTTGGCTACTTTGGAACTCGCTACATCCGCGCTAGCTACCTTTGCCTCCCCCACATTCTACTTGTGAAAGATTCTGTTAGCTGCATGAAAACTGGCAAAAGCAGCATACCCGTACGGGGTGTCTAGCAGAATTTTGGCCAAATTGGGAAGCACGTGCATGCCCAGTAGCCACCCGTTCCTCCTCCCAGGCATACTTGCTCAAGATTCTTGGCCTCTTCTAGGGACAGAGGGACCTGTGCATTCGGTCCGCAGACCCCTGCAGGCTAGCTAGGTACCCGAGAACTTTGGCCAATTCTTGTGGGAGGTGCATTCCAAGAGGCTTCTCTTGCCTCTGATTCATCTTGTCTGCCAAACTTTGTGGCTAGCTCCAGATACACATTTCGTTTTGGATCCTGTCCTCAGATTCCTTTAGTGTTGGTACCTGAGACCTTTGGCAGCTTTTGGAGGGAGGCACCTCCCTGGGTACCTCCACAACCCTTCGCTGATCATGTTTTGAAAACCTTTTGGGCTAGCTCCAAATTGAGAACTGCTTGTCAATACCAGCTGAAGAGCCGTCTGCATTAGGTCTCTCACAATATTGGCCCTGCTTTGGATGTAGCTGCATGCCTGATAGCTACCTCCAGGAAAGCTTCTAAGCATCCAGGAATGCTTGGGATTAGGCCTGAGAGACATTTAGCTGCGGGTACCAGCTGCAAAGCCCTTCAGGGTAGGGACAGCACAAGTGTGGCCAAGTTTCGAGGCAAGTGTATGCCTGGTAGCTCCCCTTGCCTTCTCACCTCGGCATGTTTCTGCAAAAGATTTAGCTTCCTCCAAGCGAAATTTTTGCTTTCTGGATCCTAAACTCAGATCCCTCATGGCTAGGGAACACAGAAGTTTGGCTACTTTGGAACTTGCTACATCCGCGCTAGCTGTCTTTGCCTCCACCACATTGTACATGTGAAAAATTCTCTTTTATCTGTGTAATTTCTGTTAAAAGCAGCATACCTGCCTGCTATTTGTTACCTGACTTTCTCTGCACATTCTGTAGCTCTCTCGGACTATGTAAATTTGCACGGTGTTTCCGTATTTTTTTCTCTCTCTGTAGATGTCTGGTCCTATATGTCCCGTAAGGCTTTTTCCACATATATTGCAGAGTCTTTCCTTTTGACATTCTCTGATCAGAGCTGAATCCTCGGCTTGCTGCCTTAGACTCCTCCAAGGCTGTTGCTCTAGCACGCTTGGGTCCATCGGAATAGCTTCCCAACCCTGCAACAATGGAATAGACATTTTTTGTTTGACTTCATTATGTTTGCTTGTTTCTTTTCCTTATTAGCTTTTCTTTCTTTGGTCTTTCCTTCAATCCTACCTGTTTTGTTAGTTTGAATCTTCCTCGTAGTTTTGGTATTTCTTTGCTTCTTTCAGACATCAGCACCCCACCCCGTTTTCCTTGTGCAGTGCCTCCCTCATAGAATCATAGAATTTGGAATCTGGTGTTGGAAGGGACCTTAAAAACCATCCAGCTCCAGCCCACCTGCACTGGTGCCGCAGGACCCGGTTGGGAGCCACACGTCTGGGCTGGGGCCGGCTCTGGCTTGAGGGTGACTGAGGCTGTGTCTGTCAGCCCTGCAGTGGGACATGGCGGTTGCCTAGCAGCACTGTGGGTCACAATATGCACTGCCCATGATTGCATGGGGTTGCCATGTGGTCATGGTCCCTGTCCTTGGCTTCCAAAGGAGCCAGGTCCCCATTCTTGGTCCTGAGCGAGGTGGTGGATGTGCGAGTCCATAAGTCCCCAAGTGCCACAGGGCGGACTTCTCGCTCTTTCCCCTGGAGCTGAACACTGCCTTTTGGTTCCACCACACCTGTGCCCCTCATGAGGTCCATGGCCCAGCTCTCTGGAGCTCACACCTGGGCTGTCCTGCCGCAGGCTGTCCTGACAGCTGCCTGGAAAAGTCTGGCCTACATAGAATCATAGAATCATAGAATATCCTGAGTTGGAAGGGACCCTTAAGGATCATCAAGTCCAACTCTTGACACCGCACAGGTCTACCCAAAAGTTCAGACCATGTGACTAAGTGCACAGTCCAATCTCTTCTTAAATTCAGTCAGGCTCGGTGCAGTGACCACTTCCCTGGGGAGCCTGTTCCAGTGTGCAACCACTCTCTCTGTGAAGAACCCCCTCCTGATGTCAAGCCTAAACTTCCCCTGCCTCAGCTTAACCCCATTCCCGCGGGTCCTGTCGCTGGTGTTAATGGAGAAAAGGTCTCCTGCCTCTCGACACCCCCTTACGAGGAAGTTGTAGACTGCGATGAGGTCTCCCCTCAGCCTCCTCTTCTCCAGGCTGAACAGGCCCAGTGCCCTCAGCCGTTCCTCGTACGTCTTCCCCTCCAGGCCTTTCACCATCTTCGTAGCCCTCCTCTGGACACTCTCCAACAGTTTCATGTCCTTTTTATACTGTGGTGCCCAGAACTGCACACAGTACTCGAGGTGAGGCCGCACCAGCGCAGAGTAGAGCGGGACAATCACCTCCCTCGACCTACTAGCGATGCCGTGCTTGATGCACCCCAGGACACGGTTGGCCCTCCTGGCTGCTAGGGCACACTGCTGGCTCATATTCAACTTGCTGTCTACCACGACCCCCAGATCCCTCTCTTCTAGGCTGCTCTCCAATGTCTCATCGCCCAGTCTGTACGTGCAGCCAGGGTTTCCCCGTCCCAGGTGCAGGACCCGGCACTTGCTCTTATTGAACTTCATGTGGTTGGCGATCGCCCAGCTCTCCAACCTATCCAGATCCCTCTGCAAGGCCTTTCCACCCTCATTCGAGTCCACAACTCCTCCAAGTTTGGTGTCATCAGCAAACTTGCTGAAAATACCTTCTATTCCTACATCCAGATCGTTTATAAAAATATTGAAAAGTACCGGCCCTAAAATGGAGCCTTGAGGGACCCCACTAGTGACCGCCCGCCAGCCTGACGCAGCCCCATTCACCATAACCCTTTGGGCCCTGCCCGTTAGCCAATTGCTCACCCATCGTATGATGTTTTTATTTAGCTGTATGGTGGACATTTTGTCCAGTAGGATCCTATGGGAAACCGTGTCAAAAGCCTTGCTGAAGTCCAAAAAAATCACATCAGCTGGTTTCCCTTGGTCCACCATACGGGTGATCTTATCATAAAAGGAAATCAGGTTAGTTAGGCAGGACCTACCCTTCACAAACCCATGCTGGTTGGGACCAATGACTGCTTTGTCCCCCAGGTGCGCCTCAATCCGTTCGAGAACCATCTTCTCCATGATTTTACCAGGCACTGACGTGAGACTGACAGGCCTGTAATTGCTAGGGTCTTCTTTCTGACCCTTCTTGAAAATCGGCACAACATTTGCCAGCTTCCAGTCTACATGCATTAGTTCTGGACAAAAGCAGCGTACCCAGCGTGTGCCAAACCCTGTTTGGGCATCAGAACAGAATCTTGAAGTCTGCGGTGCCCAAACTGAAACCTGTTTCTTCATTATTTAAAAAATCAACATTAAAGTTAACTCTTAATAAGACCATGACATTAAGGAAGTACATGCTAAACATAGAAGACTATAAGACTCAACTTTGTGCCCAAATCATGCTAACTGTCATCCCAGCGGGGGACAGAAAAGCTTAGGATATAAAAGTGTTAGGAGGCAGTGGTAAAAAATTAAGGTTAGGAAATCATTTATCAGCATTTATCTTAGCATTACCATCATTTATCTTAGCATTACCATCATTTATCAGCAGTCCTGGCTATCGGGGGAGGTCCCAGCTGACTGGCGGCTAGCAAACGTGACGCCCATCTACAAGAAGGGCCGGAGGGCAGACCCGGGGAACTACAGGCCGGTCAGTTTGACCTCAGTACCAGGGAAGCTCATGGAGCAGATCCTCTTGGGAGTCATCATGCGGCACTTGAAGGGCAAGCAGGCGATCAGGCCCAGTCAGCATGGGTTTATGGAAGGCAGATCCTGCTTGACGAACCTGATCTCCTTCTACGACAAAGTGACGCGCTGGGTGGACGAGGGAAAGGCTGTGGATGTGGTCTACCTTGACTTCAGCAAGGCTTTTGACACCGTTTCCCACAGCATTCTCCTCAAGAAACTGGCTGCTCTTGGCTTGGACTGGCGCACGCTTCGTTGGGTTAGAAACTGGCTGGATAGCCGGGCCCAGAGAGTTGTGGTAAATGGAGCCAAGTCCAGTTGGAGGCCAGTCACTAGTGGCGTCCCCCAGGGCTCGGTGCTGGGGCCGGTCCTCTTTAACATCTTCATCAATGATCTGGATGAGGGCATTGAGTGCACCCTCAGTAAGTTTGCAGATGACACCAAGCTAGGTGCGTGTGTCGATCTGCTTGAGGGTAGGAAGGCTCTGCAGGAGGATCTGGATAGGCTGCACCGATGGGCTGAGGTCAACTGTATGAAGTTTAACAAGGCCAAGTGCCGGGTCCTGCACCTGGGGCGCAATAACCCCAAGAAGAGCTACAGGCTGGGAGAGGAATGGCTGGAGAGCTGCCAGGCAGAGAAGGACCTGGGAGTGATGGTGGACAGTCGGCTGAATATGAGCCAGCAGTGTGCTCAGGTGGCCAAGAAGGCCAACGGCATCCTGGCTTGTATCAGAAACACTGTGACCAGCAGGGCTAGGGAGGTGATCGTCCCCCTGTACTCGGCTCTGGTGAGGCCGCACCTCGAGTACTGTGTTCAGTTCTGGGCCCCTCGCTACAAGAAGGACATCGAGGTGCTTGAGCGGGTCCAGAGAAGGGCGACGAAGCTGGTGAGGGGCCTGGAGAGCAAGTCCTATGAGGAGCAGCTGAAGGAGCTGGGCTTGTTCAGCCTAGAGAAAAGGAGGCTCAGGGGTGACCTTATCACTCTGTATAAGTATATTAAAGGAGGCTCTAGCGAAATGGGGGTTGGCCTGTTCTCCCATGTGCCTGGTGACAGGACGAGGGGGAATGGGCTAAAGTTGCGCCAGGGGAGTTTTAGGTTAGATGTTAGGAAGAATTTCTTTACTGAAAGGGTTGTTAGACATTGGAACAGGCTGCCCAGGGAGGTGGTTGAGTCACCATCCCTGGAAGTCTTCAAAAGACATTTAGATGTAGAACTTAGGGATATGGTTTAGTGGGGACTGAAAAAACTTAGAGTGAGGAAAAAGGGAGAGGTGGAGGTGGGGGGAGGAGAGAAGGAAAAAATGAAAATCTAGATGAGGCAGTCGTTGTTCTGTGCTCCTTCTCCACCAAGACAGGGACACCTCCTGGGTAAGCTCTGCAGCTTCACCTTCACTTTGGTGAGGAAAGCCTGGGATAGCATATATACGTTTATAAACCTATGAACACCCTATTGGGTTAGGGGCATAGATACTTTTAAGCTGCCTATTGGGTCAGTGGAAAAGACCCACAAGAAAAAGGAGAACCCCTTGTCATTCTCAGGATTCTCCTATTTGGTTGAATCTGTTCAAACACCAGCCTGCAAACAAGCAAGTGATGCAGGAGAAGGATCTGTTACGATAGATCCAATAGATCAGAAGGATCTGTTACGAAGATCCCTTCTCCATGGCTACCAAAATTTTGGCCAAAATGGGAAGCACGTGCATGCCCAGTAGCCACCCGTTCCTCCTCCCAGGCATACTTGCTCAAGATTCTTGGCCTCTTCTACGGACAGAGGGACCTGTGCATTCGGTCCGCAGACCCCTGCAGGCTAGCTAGGTACCCGAGAACTTTGGCCAATTCTTGTGGGAGGTGCATTCCAAGAGGCTTCTCTTGCCTCTGATTCATCTTGTCTGCCAAACTTTGTGGCTAGCTCCAGATACACATTTTGTTTTGACTCCTATCCTCAGATTGCTTTAGGGTCGGTACCTGAGAACTTTGTCCACTTTTGGAGGGAGGCACCTGCCTGGGTACCTCCACGACCCTTCGCTGATCATGTTTTGAAACAGTTTGGGGATAGCTCCAAATTGAGAACTGTTTATCAATACCAGCTGAAGAGCCGTCTGCATTAGGTCTCTCACCATATTGGCCCTGCTTTGGACGTAGCTGCATGCCTGATAGCTACCTCCAGGAAAGCTTCTGGAAATGCTTGGGATTCAGCCTGAGAGACATTTAGCTGCGGGTACCAGCTGCAAAGCCCTTCAGGGTAGGGACAGCACAAGTGTGGCCAAGTTTCGAGGCAAGTGTATGCCTGGTAGCTCCCCTTGCCTTCTCTCCTCGGCATGCTTCTGCAGAAGAAATGACTTCCTCCAAGAGGAAGTTTTGCTTTCTGGATCCGAAACTCAGATCCCTCACGGCTAGGGAATAAAGAAGTTTGGCTACTTTGGAACTCGCTACATCCGCGCTAGCTACCTTTGCCTCCCCCACATTCTACTTGTGAAAGATTCTGTTAGCTGCATGAAAACTGGCAAAAGCAGCATACCCGTACGGGGTGTCTAGCAGAATTATGGCCAAATTGGGAAGCACGTGCATGCCCAGTAGCCACCCGTTCCTCCTCCCAGGCATACTTGCTCAAGATTCTTGGCCTCTTCTAGGGACAGAGGGACCTGTGCATTCGGTCCGCAGACCCCTGCAGGCTAGCTAGGTACCCGAGAACTTTGGCCAATTCTTGTGGGAGGTGCATTCCAAGAGGCTTCTCTTGCCTCTGATTCATCTTGTCTGCCAAACTTTGTGGCTAGCTCCAGATACACATTTCGTTTTGGATCCTGTCCTCAGATTCCTTTAGTGTTGGTACCTGAGACCTTTGGCAACTTTTGGAGGGAGGCACCTCCCTGGGTACCTCCACAACCCTTCGCTGATCATGTTTTGAAAACCTTTTGGGCTAGCTCCAAATTGAGAACTGCTTGTCAATACCAGCTGAAGAGCCGTCTGCATTAGGTCTCTCACAATATTGGCCCTGCTTTGGATGTAGCTGCATGCCTGATAGCTACCTCCAGGAAAGCTTCTAAGCATCCAGGAATGCTTGGGATTCGGCCTGAGAGACATTTAGCTGCGGGTACCAGCTGCAAAGCCCTTCAGGGTAGGGACAGCACAAGTGTGGCCAAGTTTCGAGGCAAGTGTATGCCTGGTAGCTCCCCTTGCCTTCTCACCTCGGCATGCTTCTGTAGAAGAAATGACTTCCTCCAAGAGGAAGTTTTGCTTTCTGGATCCGAAACTCAGAACCCTCACGGCTAGGGAGCAGAGAAGTTTGGCTACTTTGGAACTTGCTACATCAGCACTACCTACCTTTGCCTCCACCACATCGTACTTGTGAAAGATTCTGTTAGCTGCATGAAAACTGGCAAAAGCAGCATACCCGTACGGGGTGTCTAGCAGAATTTTGGCCAAATTGGGAAGCACGTGCATGCCCAGTAGCTACCCGTTCCTCCTCCCAGGCATACTTGCTCAAGATTCTTGGCCTCTTCTACGGACAGAGGGACCTGTGCATTCGGTCCGCAGACCCCTGCAGGCTAACTAGGTACCTTGAGTACTTTTGGCCAATTCCTGTGGGATGGGCATTCCACGAGGCTTCTCTTGCCTCTGATTCATCTTGTCTGCCAAACTTTGTGGCTAGCTCCAGATTACACATTTCGTTTTGGATCCTGTCCTCAGGATTGCCTTTAGGTTGGTACATGAGACCTTTGGCTAGCTTTTGGAGGGAGGCACCTCCCTGGGTACCTCCACAACCCTTCGCTGATCATGCTTTGAAAACCTTTTGGGCTAGCTCCAAATTGAGAACTGCTTGTCAATACCAGCTGAAGAGCCGTCTGCATTAGGTCTCTCACAATATTGGCCCTGCTTTGGATGTAGCTGCATGCCTGATAGCTACCTCCAGGAAAGCTTCTAAGCATCCAGGAATGCTTGGGATTAGGCCTGAGAGACATTTAGCTGAGGGTACCAGCTGCAAAGCCCTTCAGGGTAGGGACAGCACAAGTGTGGCCAAGTTTCGAGGCAAGTGTATGCCTGGTAGCTCCCCTTGCCTTCTCACCTCGGCATGTTTCTGCAAAAGATTTAGCTTCCTCCAAGCGAAATTTTTGCTTTCTGGATCCTAAACTCAGATCCCTCATGGCTAGGGAACACAGAAGTTTGGCTACTTTGGAACTTGCTACATCCGCGCTAGCTGTCTTTGCCTCCACCACATTGTACATGTGAAAAATTCTCTTTTATCTGTGTAATTTCTGTTAAAAGCAGCATACCTGCCTGCTATTTGTTACCTGACTTTCTCTGCACATTCTGTAGCTCTCTCGGACTATGTAAATTTGCACGGTGTTTCCGTATTTTTTTCTCTCTCTGTAGATGTCTGGTCCTATATGTCCCGTAAGGCTTTTTCCACATATATTGCAGAGTCTTTCCTTTTGACATTCTCTGATCAGAGCTGAATCCTCGGCTTGCTGCCTTAGACTCCTCCAAGGCTGTTGCTCTAGCACGCTTGGGTCCATCGGAATAGCTTCCCAACCCTGCAACAATGGAATAGACATTTTTTGTTTGACTTCATTATGTTTGCTTGTTTCTTTTCCTTATTAGCTTTTCTTTCTTTGGTCTTTCCTTCAATCCTACCTGTTTTGTTAGTTTGAATCTTCCTCGTAGTTTTGGTATTTCTTTGCTTCTTTCAGACATCAGCACCCCACCCCGTTTTCCTTGTGCAGTGCCTCCCTCATAGAATCATAGAATTTGGAATCTGGTGTTGGAAGGGACCTTAAAAACCATCCAGCTCCAGCCCACCTGCACTGGTGCCGCAGGACCCGGTTGGGAGCCACACGTCTGGGCTGGGGCCGGCTCTGGCTTGAGGGTGACTGAGGCTGTGTCTGTCAGCCCTGCAGTGGGACATGGCGGTTGCCTAGCAGCACTGTGGGTCACAATATGCACTGCCCATGATTGCATGGGGTTGCCATGTGGTCATGGTCCCTGTCCTTGGCTTCCAAAGGAGCCAGGTCCCCATTCTTGGTCCTGAGCGAGGTGGTGGATGTGCGAGTCCATAAGTCCCCAAGTGCCACAGGGCGGACTTCTCGCTCTTTCCCCTGGAGCTGAACACTGCCTTTTGGTTCCACCACACCTGTGCCCCTCATGAGGTCCATGGCCCAGCTCTCTGGAGCTCACACCTGGGCTGTCCTGCCGCAGGCTGTCCTGACAGCTGCCTGGAAAAGTCTGGCCTACATAGAATCATAGAATCATAGAATATCCTGAGTTGGAAGGGACCCTTAAGGATCATCAAGTCCAACTCTTGACACCGCACAGGTCTACCCAAAAGTTCAGACCATGTGACTAAGTGCACAGTCCAATCTCTTCTTAAATTCAGTCAGGCTCGGTGCAGTGACCACTTCCCTGGGGAGCCTGTTCCAGTGTGCAACCACTCTCTCTGTGAAGAACCCCCTCCTGATGTCAAGCCTAAACTTCCCCTGCCTCAGCTTAACCCCATTCCCGCGGGTCCTGTCGCTGGTGTTAATGGAGAAAAGGTCTCCTGCCTCTCGACACCCCCTTACGAGGAAGTTGTAGACTGCGATGAGGTCTCCCCTCAGCCTCCTCTTCTCCAGGCTGAACAGGCCCAGTGCCCTCAGCCGTTCCTCGTACGTCTTCCCCTCCAGGCCTTTCACCATCTTCGTAGCCCTCCTCTGGACACTCTCCAACAGTTTCATGTCCTTTTTATACTGTGGTGCCCAGAACTGCACACAGTACTCGAGGTGAGGCCGCACCAGCGCAGAGTAGAGCGGGACAATCACCTCCCTCGACCTACTAGCGATGCCGTGCTTGATGCACCCCAGGACACGGTTGGCCCTCCTGGCTGCTAGGGCACACTGCTGGCTCATATTCAACTTGCTGTCTACCACGACCCCCAGATCCCTCTCTTCTAGGCTGCTCTCCAATGTCTCATCGCCCAGTCTGTACGTGCAGCCAGGGTTTCCCCGTCCCAGGTGCAGGACCCGGCACTTGCTCTTATTGAACTTCATGTGGTTGGCGATCGCCCAGCTCTCCAACCTATCCAGATCCCTCTGCAAGGCCTTTCCACCCTCATTCGAGTCCACAACTCCTCCAAGTTTGGTGTCATCAGCAAACTTGCTGAAAATACCTTCTATTCCTACATCCAGATCGTTTATAAAAATATTGAAAAGTACCGGCCCTAAAATGGAGCCTTGAGGGACCCCACTAGTGACCGCCCGCCAGCCTGACGCAGCCCCATTCACCATAACCCTTTGGGCCCTGCCCGTTAGCCAATTGCTCACCCATCGTATGATGTTTTTATTTAGCTGTATGGTGGACATTTTGTCCAGTAGGATCCTATGGGAAACCGTGTCAAAAGCCTTGCTGAAGTCCAAAAAAATCACATCAGCTGGTTTCCCTTGGTCCACCATACGGGTGATCTTATCATAAAAGGAAATCAGGTTAGTTAGGCAGGACCTACCCTTCACAAACCCATGCTGGTTGGGACCAATGACTGCTTTGTCCCCCAGGTGCGCCTCAATCCGTTCGAGAACCATCTTCTCCATGATTTTACCAGGCACTGACGTGAGACTGACAGGCCTGTAATTGCTAGGGTCTTCTTTCTGACCCTTCTTGAAAATCGGCACAACATTTGCCAGCTTCCAGTCTACATGCATTAGTTCTGGACAAAAGCAGCGTACCCAGCGTGTGCCAAACCCTGTTTGGGCATCAGAACAGAATCTTGAAGTCTGCGGTGCCCAAAGTGAAACCTGTTTCTTCATTATTTAAAAAATCAACATTAAAGTTAACTCTTAATAAGACCATGACATTAAGGAAGTACATGCTAAACATAGAAGACTATAAGACTCAACTTTGTGCCCAAATCATGCTAACTGTCATCCCAGCGGGGGACAGAAAAGCTTAGGATATAAAAGTGTTAGGAGGCAGTGGTAAAAAATTAAGGTTAGGAAAAAAACTTAGAGTGAGGAAAAAGGGAGAGGTGGAGGTGGGGGGAGGAGAGAAGGAAAAAATGAAAACCTAGATGAGGCAGTCGTTGTTCTGTGCTCCTTCTCCACCAAGACAGGGACACCTCCTGGGTAAGCTCTGCAGCTTCACCTTCACTTTGGTGAGGAAAGCCTGGGATAGCATATATACGTTTATAAACCTATGAACACCCTATTGGGTTAGGGGCATAGATACTTTTAAGCTGCCTATTGGGTCAGTGGAAAAGACCCACAAGAAAAAGGAGAACCCCTTGTCATTCTCAGGATTCTCCTATTTGGTTGAATCTGTTCAAACACCAGCCTGCAAACAAGCAAGTGATGCAGGAGAAGGATCTGTTACGATAGATCCAATAGATCAGAAGGATCTGTTACGAAGATCCCTTCTCCATGGCTACCAAAATTTTGGCCAAAATGGGAAGCACGTGCATGCCCAGTAGCCACCCGTTCCTCCTCCCAGGCATACTTGCTCAAGATTCTTGGCCTCTTCTACGGACAGAGGGACCTGTGCATTCGGTCCGCAGACCCCTGCAGGCTAGCTAGGTACCCGAGAACTTTGGCCAATTCTTGTGGGAGGTGCATTCCAAGAGGCTTCTCTTGCCTCTGATTCATCTTGTCTGCCAAACTTTGTGGCTAGCTCCAGATACACATTTTGTTTTGACTCCTATCCTCAGATTGCTTTAGGGTCGGTACCTGAGAACTTTGTCCACTTTTGGAGGGAGGCACCTGCCTGGGTACCTCCACGACCCTTCGCTGATCATGTTTTGAAACAGTTTGGGGATAGCTCCAAATTGAGAACTGTTTATCAATACCAGCTGAAGAGCCGTCTGCATTAGGTCTCTCACCATATTGGCCCTGCTTTGGACGTAGCTGCATGCCTGATAGCTACCTCCAGGAAAGCTTCTGGAAATGCTTGGGATTCAGCCTGAGAGACATTTAGCTGCGGGTACCAGCTGCAAAGCCCTTCAGGGTAGGGACAGCACAAGTGTGGCCAAGTTTCGAGGCAAGTGTATGCCTGGTAGCTCCCCTTGCCTTCTCTCCTCGGCATGCTTCTGCAGAAGAAATGACTTCCTCCAAGAGGAAGTTTTGCTTTCTGGATCCGAAACTCAGATCCCTCACGGCTAGGGAATAAAGAAGTTTGGCTACTTTGGAACTCGCTACATCCGCGCTAGCTACCTTTGCCTCCCCCACATTCTACTTGTGAAAGATTCTGTTAGCTGCATGAAAACTGGCAAAAGCAGCATACCCGTACGGGGTGTCTAGCAGAATTTTGGCCAAATTGGGAAGCACGTGCATGCCCAGTAGCCACCCGTTCCTCCTCCCAGGCATACTTGCTCAAGATTCTTGGCCTCTTCTAGGGACAGAGGGACCTGTGCATTCGGTCCGCAGACCCCTGCAGGCTAGCTAGGTACCCGAGAACTTTGGCCAATTCTTGTGGGAGGTGCATTCCAAGAGGCTTCTCTTGCCTCTGATTCATCTTGTCTGCCAAACTTTGTGGCTAGCTCCAGATACACATTTCGTTTTGGATCCTGTCCTCAGATTCCTTTAGTGTTGGTACCTGAGACCTTTGGCAGCTTTTGGAGGGAGGCACCTCCCTGGGTACCTCCACAACCCTTCGCTGATCATGTTTTGAAAACCTTTTGGGCTAGCTCCAAATTGAGAACTGCTTGTCAATACCAGCTGAAGAGCCGTCTGCATTAGGTCTCTCACAATATTGGCCCTGCTTTGGATGTAGCTGCATGCCTGATAGCTACCTCCAGGAAAGCTTCTAAGCATCCAGGAATGCTTGGGATTAGGCCTGAGAGACATTTAGCTGCGGGTACCAGCTGCAAAGCCCTTCAGGGTAGGGACAGCACAAGTGTGGCCAAGTTTCGAGGCAAGTGTATGCCTGGTAGCTCCCCTTGCCTTCTCAATCGGCTCTTCTACGGACAGAGGGACCTGTGCATTCGGTCCGCAGACCCCTGCAGGCTAACTAGGTACTTGAGTAATTTTGGCCAATTCCTGTGGGATGGGCATGCCACGAGGCTTCTCTTGCCTCTGATTCATCTTGTCTGCCAAACTTTGTGGCTAGCTCCAGTTACACATTTCGTTTTGGATCCTGTCCTCGGATTGCTTTAGGGTCAGTACAAGAGAACTTTGGCTACTTTTGGAGGGAGGCACCTCCCTGGGTACCTCCACAACCCTTCGCTGATCATGCTTTGAAAACCTTTTGGGCTAGCTCCAAATTGAGAACTGCTTGTCAATACCAGCTGAAGAGCCGCCTGCATTAGGTCTCTCACAATATTGGCCCTGCTTTGGATGTAGCTGCATGCCTGATAGCTACCTCCAGGAAAGCTTCTAAGCATCCAGGAATGCTTGGGATTCGGCCTGAGAGACATTTAGCTGAGGGTACCAGCTGCAAAGCCCTTCAGGGTAGGGACAGCACAAGTGTGGCCAAGTTTCGAGGCAAGTGTATGCCTGGTAGCTCCCCTTGCCTTCTCACCTCGGCATGCTTCTGCAAAAGATTTAGCTTCCTCCAAGCGAAATTTTTGCTTTCTGGATCCTAAACTCAGATCCCTCATGGCTAGGGAACACAGAAGTTTGGCTACTTTGGAACTTGCTACATCCGCGCTAGCTGTCTTTGCCTCCACCACATTGTACATGTGAAAAATTCTCTTTTATCTGTGTAATTTCTGTTAAAAGCAGCATACCTGCCTGCTATTTGTTACCTGACTTTCTCTGCACATTCTGTAGCTCTCTCGGACTATGTAAATTTGCACGGTGTTTCCGTATTTTTTTCTCTCTCTGTAGATGTCTGGTCCTATATGTCCCGTAAGGCTTTTTCCACATATATTGCAGAGTCTTTCCTTTTGACATTCTCTGATCAGAGCTGAATCCTCGGCTTGCTGCCTTAGACTCCTCCAAGGCTGTTGCTCTAGCACGCTTGGGTCCATCGGAATAGCTTCCCAACCCTGCAACAATGGAATAGACATTTTTTGTTTGACTTCATTATGTTTGCTTGTTTCTTTTCCTTATTAGCTTTTCTTTCTTTGGTCTTTCCTTCAATCCTACCTGTTTTGTTAGTTTGAATCTTCCTCGTAGTTTTGGTATTTCTTTGCTTCTTTCAGACATCAGCACCCCACCCCGTTTTCCTTGTGCAGTGCCTCCCTCATAGAATCATAGAATTTGGAATCTGGTGTTGGAAGGGACCTTAAAAACCATCCAGCTCCAGCCCACCTGCACTGGTGCCGCAGGACCCGGTTGGGAGCCACACGTCTGGGCTGGGGCCGGCTCTGGCTTGAGGGTGACTGAGGCTGTGTCTGTCAGCCCTGCAGTGGGACATGGCGGTTGCCTAGCAGCACTGTGGGTCACAATATGCACTGCCCATGATTGCATGGGGTTGCCATGTGGTCATGGTCCCTGTCCTTGGCTTCCAAAGGAGCCAGGTCCCCATTCTTGGTCCTGAGCGAGGTGGTGGATGTGCGAGTCCATAAGTCCCCAAGTGCCACAGGGCGGACTTCTCGCTCTTTCCCCTGGAGCTGAACACTGCCTTTTGGTTCCACCACACCTGTGCCCCTCATGAGGTCCATGGCCCAGCTCTCTGGAGCTCACACCTGGGCTGTCCTGCCGCAGGCTGTCCTGACAGCTGCCTGGAAAAGTCTGGCCTACATAGAATCATAGAATCATAGAATATCCTGAGTTGGAAGGGACCCTTAAGGATCATCAAGTCCAACTCTTGACACCGCACAGGTCTACCCAAAAGTTCAGACCATGTGACTAAGTGCACAGTCCAATCTCTTCTTAAATTCAGTCAGGCTCGGTGCAGTGACCACTTCCCTGGGGAGCCTGTTCCAGTGTGCAACCACTCTCTCTGTGAAGAACCCCCTCCTGATGTCAAGCCTAAACTTCCCCTGCCTCAGCTTAACCCCATTCCCGCGGGTCCTGTCGCTGGTGTTAATGGAGAAAAGGTCTCCTGCCTCTCGACACCCCCTTACGAGGAAGTTGTAGACTGCGATGAGGTCTCCCCTCAGCCTCCTCTTCTCCAGGCTGAACAGGCCCAGTGCCCTCAGCCGTTCCTCGTACGTCTTCCCCTCCAGGCCTTTCACCATCTTCGTAGCCCTCCTCTGGACACTCTCCAACAGTTTCATGTCCTTTTTATACTGTGGTGCCCAGAACTGCACACAGTACTCGAGGTGAGGCCGCACCAGCGCAGAGTAGAGCGGGACAATCACCTCCCTCGACCTACTAGCGATGCCGTGCTTGATGCACCCCAGGACACGGTTGGCCCTCCTGGCTGCTAGGGCACACTGCTGGCTCATATTCAACTTGCTGTCTACCACGACCCCCAGATCCCTCTCTTCTAGGCTGCTCTCCAATGTCTCATCGCCCAGTCTGTACGTGCAGCCAGGGTTTCCCCGTCCCAGGTGCAGGACCCGGCACTTGCTCTTATTGAACTTCATGTGGTTGGCGATCGCCCAGCTCTCCAACCTATCCAGATCCCTCTGCAAGGCCTTTCCACCCTCATTCGAGTCCACAACTCCTCCAAGTTTGGTGTCATCAGCAAACTTGCTGAAAATACCTTCTATTCCTACATCCAGATCGTTTATAAAAATATTGAAAAGTACCGGCCCTAAAATGGAGCCTTGAGGGACCCCACTAGTGACCGCCCGCCAGCCTGACGCAGCCCCATTCACCATAACCCTTTGGGCCCTGCCCGTTAGCCAATTGCTCACCCATCGTATGATGTTTTTATTTAGCTGTATGGTGGACATTTTGTCCAGTAGGATCCTATGGGAAACCGTGTCAAAAGCCTTGCTGAAGTCCAAAAAAATCACATCAGCTGGTTTCCCTTGGTCCACCATACGGGTGATCTTATCATAAAAGGAAATCAGGTTAGTTAGGCAGGACCTACCCTTCACAAACCCATGCTGGTTGGGACCAATGACTGCTTTGTCCCCCAGGTGCGCCTCAATCCGTTCGAGAACCATCTTCTCCATGATTTTACCAGGCACTGACGTGAGACTGACAGGCCTGTAATTGCTAGGGTCTTCTTTCTGACCCTTCTTGAAAATCGGCACAACATTTGCCAGCTTCCAGTCTACATGCATTAGTTCTGGACAAAAGCAGCGTACCCAGCGTGTGCCAAACCCTGTTTGGGCATCAGAACAGAATCTTGAAGTCTGCGGTGCCCAAACTGAAACCTGTTTCTTCATTATTTAAAAAATCAACATTAAAGTTAACTCTTAATAAGACCATGACATTAAGGAAGTACATGCTAAACATAGAAGACTATAAGACTCAACTTTGTGCCCAAATCATGCTAACTGTCATCCCAGCGGGGGACAGAAAAGCTTAGGATATAAAAGTGTTAGGAGGCAGTGGTAAAAAATTAAGGTTAGGAAAAAAACTTAGAGTGAGGAAAAAGGGAGAGGTGGAGGTGGGGGGAGGAGAGAAGGAAAAAATGAAAACCTAGATGAGGCAGTCGTTGTTCTGTGCTCCTTCTCCACCAAGACAGGGACACCTCCTGGGTAAGCTCTGCAGCTTCACCTTCACTTTGGTGAGGAAAGCCTGGGATAGCATATATACGTTTATAAACCTATGAACACCCTATTGGGTTAGGGGCATAGATACTTTTAAGCTGCCTATTGGGTCAGTGGAAAAGACCCACAAGAAAAAGGAGAACCCCTTGTCATTCTCAGGATTCTCCTATTTGGTTGAATCTGTTCAAACACCAGCCTGCAAACAAGCAAGTGATGCAGGAGAAGGATCTGTTACGATAGATCCAATAGATCAGAAGGATCTGTTACGAAGATCCCTTCTCCATGGCTACCAAAATTTTGGCCAAAATGGGAAGCACGTGCATGCCCAGTAGCCACCCGTTCCTCCTCCCAGGCATACTTGCTCAAGATTCTTGGCCTCTTCTACGGACAGAGGGACCTGTGCATTCGGTCCGCAGACCCCTGCAGGCTAGCTAGGTACCCGAGAACTTTGGCCAATTCTTGTGGGAGGTGCATTCCAAGAGGCTTCTCTTGCCTCTGATTCATCTTGTCTGCCAAACTTTGTGGCTAGCTCCAGATACACATTTTGTTTTGACTCCTATCCTCAGATTGCTTTAGGGTCGGTACCTGAGAACTTTGTCCACTTTTGGAGGGAGGCACCTGCCTGGGTACCTCCACGACCCTTCGCTGATCATGTTTTGAAACAGTTTGGGGATAGCTCCAAATTGAGAACTGTTTATCAATACCAGCTGAAGAGCCGTCTGCATTAGGTCTCTCACCATATTGGCCCTGCTTTGGACGTAGCTGCATGCCTGATAGCTACCTCCAGGAAAGCTTCTGGAAATGCTTGGGATTCAGCCTGAGAGACATTTAGCTGCGGGTACCAGCTGCAAAGCCCTTCAGGGTAGGGACAGCACAAGTGTGGCCAAGTTTCGAGGCAAGTGTATGCCTGGTAGCTCCCCTTGCCTTCTCTCCTCGGCATGCTTCTGCAGAAGAAATGACTTCCTCCAAGAGGAAGTTTTGCTTTCTGGATCCGAAACTCAGATCCCTCACGGCTAGGGAATAAAGAAGTTTGGCTACTTTGGAACTCGCTACATCCGCGCTAGCTACCTTTGCCTCCCCCACATTCTACTTGTGAAAGATTCTGTTAGCTGCATGAAAACTGGCAAAAGCAGCATACCCGTACGGGGTGTCTAGCAGAATTTTGGCCAAATTGGGAAGCACGTGCATGCCCAGTAGCCACCCGTTCCTCCTCCCAGGCATACTTGCTCAAGATTCTTGGCCTCTTCTAGGGACAGAGGGACCTGTGCATTCGGTCCGCAGACCCCTGCAGGCTAGCTAGGTACCCGAGAACTTTGGCCAATTCTTGTGGGAGGTGCATTCCAAGAGGCTTCTCTTGCCTCTGATTCATCTTGTCTGCCAAACTTTGTGGCTAGCTCCAGATACACATTTCGTTTTGGATCCTGTCCTCAGATTCCTTTAGTGTTAGGTACCTGAGACCTTTGGCTAGCTTTTGGAGGGAGGCACCTCCCTGGGTACCTCCACAACCCTTCAGCTGATCATGTTTTGAAAACATTTTGGGGCTAGCTCCAAATTGAGAACTGCTTGTCAATACCAGCTGAAGAGCCGTCTGCATTAGGTCTCTCACAATATTGGCCCTGCTTTGGATGTAGATGCATGCCTGATAGCTACCTCCAGGAAAGCTTCTAAGCATCCAGGAATGCTTGGGATTCGGCCTGAGAGACATTTAGCTGCGGGTACCAGCTGCAAAGCCCTTCAGGGTAGGGACAGCACAAGTGTGGCCAAGTTTCGAGGCAAGTGTATGCCTGGTAGCTCCCCTTGCCTTCTCACCTCGGCATGCTTCTGCAGAAGAAATGACTTCCTCCAAGAGGAAGTTTTGCTTTCTGGATCCGAAACTCAGAACCCTCACGGCTAGGGAGCAGAGAAGTTTGGCTACTTTGGAACTTGCTACATCAGCGCTACCTACCTTTGCCTCCACCACATTCTACTTTTGAAAGATTCTGTTAGCTGCATGAAAACTGGCAAAAGCAGCATACCCGTACGGGGTGTCTAGCAGAATTTTGGCCAAATTGGGAAGCACGTGCATGCCCAGTAGCTACCCGTTCCTCCTCCCAGGCATACTTGCTCAAGATTCTTGGCCTCTTCTACGGACAGAGGGACCTGTGCATTCGGTCCGCAGACCCCTGCAGGCTAACTAGGTACTTGAGTATTTTGGCCAATTCCTGTGGGATGGGCATGCCACGAGGCTTCTCTTGCCTCTGATTCATCTTGTCTGCCAAACTTTGTGGCTAGCTCCAGATACACATTTCGTTTTGGATCCTGTCCTCGGATTGCTTTAGGGTCAGTACAAGAGAACTTTGGCTACTTTTGGAGGGAGGCACCTCCCTGGGTACCTCCACGATCCTTCACTGATCATGTTTTGAAACAGTTTGGGGCTAGCTCCAAATTAAGAACTGCTTGTCAATACCAGCTGAAGAGCCGTCTGCATTAGGTCTCTCACCATATTGGCCCTGCTTTGGATGTAGATGCATACCGGATAGCTACCTCCAGGAAAGCTTCTAAGCATCCAGGAATGCTTGGGATTCGGCCTGAGAGACATTTAGCTGAGGGTACCAGCTGCAAAGCCCTTCAGGGTAGGGACAGCACAAGTGTGGCCAAGTTTCGAGGCAAGTGTATGCCTGGTAGCTCCCCTTGCCTTCTCACCTCGGCATGCTTCTGCAAAAGATTTAGCTTCATCCAAGCGAAAGTTTTGCTTTCTGGATCCGAAACTCAGATCCCTCACGGCTAGGGAATAAAGAAGTTTGGCTACTTTGGAACTTGCTACATCCGCGCTAGCTATCTTTGCCTCCACCACATTCTACTTTTGAAAGATTCTGTTAGCTGCATGAAAACTGGCAAAAGCAGCATACCCGTACGGGGTGTCTAGCAGAATTATGGCCAAATTGGGAAGCACGTGCATGCCCAGTAGCCACCCGTTCCTCCTCCCAGGCATACTTGCTCAAGATTCTTGGCCTCTTCTAGGGACAGAGGGACCTGTGCATTCGGTCCGCAGACCCCTGCAGGCTAGCTAGGTACCCGAGAACTTTGGCCAATTCTTGTGGGAGGTGCATTCCAAGAGGCTTCTCTTGCCTCTGATTCATCTTGTCTGCCAAACTTTGTGGCTAGCTCCAGATACACATTTCGTTTTGGATCCTGTCCTCAGATTCCTTTAGTGTTGGTACCTGAGACCTTTGGCAGCTTTTGGAGGGAGGCACCTCCCTGGGTACCTCCACAACCCTTCGCTGATCATGTTTTGAAAACCTTTTGGGCTAGCTCCAAATTGAGAACTGCTTGTCAATACCAGCTGAAGAGCCGTCTGCATTAGGTCTCTCACAATATTGGCCCTGCTTTGGATGTAGCTGCATGCCTGATAGCTACCTCCAGGAAAGCTTCTAAGCATCCAGGAATGCTTGGGATTCGGCCTGAGAGACATTTAGCTGAGGGTACCAGCTGCAAAGCCCTTCAGGGTAGGGACAGCACAAGTGTGGCCAAGTTTCGAGGCAAGTGTATGCCTGGTAGCTCCCCTTGCCTTCTCACCTCGGCATGCTTCTGCAAAAGATTTAGCTTCCTCCAAGCGAAATTTTTGCTTTCTGGATCCTAAACTCAGATCCCTCATGGCTAGGGAACACAGAAGTTTGGCTACTTTGGAACTTGCTACATCCGCGCTAGCTGTCTTTGCCTCCACCACATTGTACATGTGAAAAATTCTCTTTTATCTGTGTAATTTCTGTTAAAAGCAGCATACCTGCCTGCTATTTGTTACCTGACTTTCTCTGCACATTCTGTAGCTCTCTCGGACTATGTAAATTTGCACGGTGTTTCCATATTTTTTTCTCTCTCTGTAGATGTCTGGTCCTATATGTCTCGTAAGGCTTTTTCCACATATATTGCAGAGTCTTTCCTTTTGACATTCTCTGATCAGAGCTGAATCCTCGGCTTGCTGCCTTAGACTCCTCCAAGGCTGTTGCTCTAGCACGCTTGGGTCCATCGGAATAGCTTCCCAACCCTGCAACAATGGAATAGACATTTTTTGTTTGACTTCATTATGTTTGCTTGTTTCTTTTCCTTATTAGCTTTTCTTTCTTTGGTCTTTCCTTCAATCCTACCTGTTTTGTTAGTTTGAATCTTCCTCGTAGTTTTGGTATTTCTTTGCTTCTTTCAGACATCAGCACCCCACCCCGTTTTCCTTGTGCAGTGCCTCCCTCATAGAATCATAGAATTTGGAATCTGGTGTTGGAAGGGACCTTAAAAACCATCCAGCTCCAGCCCACCTGCACTGGTGCCGCAGGACCCGGTTGGGAGCCACACGTCTGGGCTGGGGCCGGCTCTGGCTTGAGGGTAACTGGGGCTGTGTCTGTCAGCCCTGCAGTGGGACATGGCGGTTGCCTAGCAGCACTGTGGGTCACAATATGCACTGCCCATGATTGCATGGGGTTGCCATGTGGTCATGGTCCCTGTCCTTGGCTTCCAAAGGAGCCAGGTCCCCATTCTTGGTCCTGAGCGAGGTGGTGGATGTGCGAGTCCATAAGTCCCCAAGTGCCACAGGGCGGACTTCTCGCTCTTTCCCCTGGAGCTGAACACTGCCTTTTGGTTCCACCACACCTGTGCCCCTCATGAGGTCCATGGCCCAGCTCTCTGGAGCTCACACCTGGGCCGTCCTGCCGCAGGCTGTCCTGCCAGCTGCCTGGAAAAGTCTGGCCTACATGCATTAGTTCTGGACAAAAGCAGCGTACCCAGCGTGTGCCAAACCCTGTTTGGGCATCAGAACAGAATCTTGAAGTCTGCGGTGCCCAAAGTGAAACCTGTTTCTTCATTATTTAAAAAATCAACATTAAAGTTAACTCTTAATAAGACCATGACATTAAGGAAGTACATGCTAAACATAGAAGACTATAAGACTCAACTTTGTGCCCAAATCATGCTAATTGTCATCCCAGCGGGGGACAGAAAAGCTTAGGATATAAAAGTGTTAGGAGGCAGTGGTAAAAAATTAAGGTTAGGAAAAAAACTTAGAGTGAGGAAAAAAGGGAGAGGTGGAGGTGGGGGGAGGAGAGAAGGAAAAAATGAAAACCTAGATGAGGCAGTCGTTGTTCTGTGCTCCTTCTCCACCAAGACAGGGACACCTCCTGGGTAAGCTCTGCAGCTTCACCTTCACTTTGGTGAGGAAAGCCTGGGATAGCATATATACGTTTATAAACCTATGAACACCCTATTGGGTTAGGGGCATAGATTCTTTTTAGCTGCCTATTGGGTCAGTGGAAAAGACCCACAAGAAAGAGGAGAACCCCTTGTCATTAAGACCTCAGGGTTCTCCAATTTGGTTGCATCTGTTCAAACACCAACCTGCAAACAAGCAAGTGATGCAGGAGAAGGATCTGTTACGATAGATCCCCTTCTCCATTGGCTACCAGAATTTTGGCCAGATTGGGAAGTATGTGCGTGCCCAGTAGCTACCCGTTCCTCCTCCCAGGCATACTTTGTGACATTTGGGGGCCTCTTCCAGACAGAGAGTGACCTGTGGATTCCGTCCACAGACCCCTTCAGGTGAGGTACCTGACAGCATCAGCGAAAGCAGCAGTTTCATGCAGCCACCAATCAGCGGGTGAGCGCAGGGCATGTGGCTCAAACAGCACGCAGCCAATGGGAGAGGCACTGTGAGCTGAGTGCTCCCTCACTGCCACAAAATGTCGG